TCTGGAGCCAGACTGCCTAAATCAAGCCCCAGCTCCATCACAGACAAGATGTAGAAACATGGACAAGTTATTTATTGTCCCTGAGTTTTGTTTCCTCATCTGCAAGAGATATAATAATAGTAAGTAACTCACTGGGTTGGTATAGGGATTAAGTGAATTACATTCTTTAAAGGAGTACTTTTGGGAATAAAGGGAAAATTTTTTGTTTCCATATATATAGTTTATCCTGATTTACCAAAAAAAAAAAAAAATAGTGAAAAAATTTCATGTAAACTGCTTCATGAATTAAATCATATTTTTAATGATAATAGGTTACTTAAGGAAATTCTATCATGAAACCCTCTTTAAAACAACCATTTACTTCCAGGCACAGAGGCACACACTTGTAATCCCAGTTACTAGGAGGCTGAGGCAGGGAGGCCAAGGCAAGAAGATCATAAAAACAAGGAAAAAAAAATCTACTAAATGTTATTCAGTTGGAAAATCAATTTTATGTTATATGTATTTGATTTACTTATATCCAACTTAATAAAAATGAGGTTTATCTCTAAATATAATTAACATATCTCATCATTAGAAATTAATTCATTCTACTAATTAAAACAAATACATATATAAAAAGAAATTAATTCATTTTTTACTCATAAATGTTCACTAACATAATCATCATGAAATGAAATACAAAGTAAAGTTTAAAAACATGTAACTCTTCCTTTGTTTTTTTTGGTGTTGGGAGATTGAACCCAGGGCCTCAAATATGCCTGCCCTCCACTGAGCTACATAACCCCCAACCCAAAACTTATAATTCTTCAACTACACATAGTAATACAATTAAAACTAGAATTCAGAGGCAAGGGATATAACTCAATGGTACAGCACTTGCCTCATGGATATGAGGCCCTGGGTTTGATCCCCAGCATCACAAAAGATAAAAAAAGATTAGAATCCAGATCTCAGTCCAGTTAGAAAAGCCTACCAATACACCAAAAATACACAATCTCCTCAAAATGTTTTTTAGTAGATCTAATCTTACCTTCTACTTCTGGCCATTCTTGTGCAACAAATGTTGACTGAGAAAAATTTAAACATACTTTTTAAGAGTATACATTTTTAACGATGAATCTAAAATATCTCCTGTTACAAGTTTTAAAAGAAATCTGGTTTCCCATTTTTCTGAAACCAGGTTTCTTTTAAAACTTGTAATAGGAGATACCTTAGATTCATCGTTAAAAATCTTAAAAACCCATAAAATGGGATTCTAATTAATGTAGCTGCACAAGATATTTTACAGTTTCCATCTATAACAAAAGATTATTAACCTGAAATTCAAAAACTCACCCAACAAGGATCATCAACAGATCCTACAACTGTTAGGTGAAAGATTATTGAAGAACAGGCTAGCACTACTGTGCTAATTTATTATGTCAGAGTTTACATGCTAATTGCAGTGAGAAATAGACCTTACCTTAATTATCCCCACAACAAATTAAACAAACAGCATCACAAATAATGGGAATAAATAGTATCTTTTTTGTTTAATATTTTTAGGTCGATAGACACAATACCTTTATTTATTTATTTTTATGGGTGCTAAGGATTCGACCCTGTGCCTCATCTGTGTGAGGCAAGTGCTTTACTACTGAGCCACAACCTCAGACCAGTATATGTCTTCTGATGGAAGGCAATATGAAGTATACATCATCACTTAGGAATTCTTGTCCCAAATTTTTAATTTGAAACTAATCAACCCTTTAAGCATGCTTTACAGGAATAGATAGTATGGGGGAATTGAGGAACAAGCTAAATGACACCATGAAAGGAAAACTTCTAACAAATTCAGAATGTGAACTGTTTTTTCCACATGTTTTATCGGGGCATTTTAACTACACAAGATAGTAGGATTTGTTGTTATATATTCATATGTGCACATGATAAAACAATAAAATTTCGACAATATCATTCCCCAGTATTTCCTTTTCCTCCCTTTTTCCCCTCCCCTGGTCCCTTTCCTCTACTCTTTCCCTTCATTTTCATGAGAGCCCTCACACACATATATTTTTTTCTTTTTTCTCTCTAGCTACTATGTATGAGAGAAAACACAGGATCCTTGACTTTCTGAGTTTGGCTTATTTCACTTAAAATAATGCTCTTAAGTTTCATCCATCTTCTTGCAAATGACATAATTTCACAAGATGCCAGTCATTTTATAAGACAACTGTTTTTTGATGTTTTAAAAAATATCAATGTCATTTTAAAAGAAGAGAGGACATGATGGTGCATGCCTATGATTCCAGTGACTTGTGAGGCTGAGACAGGCAGATCACAAGTTAGAAGCAAGCCTCAGCAACTTAGCAAGACTCAAAAAACAAAAAAGGGCTAGAGATGTAGCTCCATGGTAAAGCACCTTTGGGCTCAACCCCCAGTACCACCAAAAGAAAAAAGTAGCTGGGTGAGGCTGTTCTATATTAGAAGAGATTTTAATAACCAAATGCAACAAGTAAACTTTGATGGGATCCTGGTTTCCTGGTTTGGTAAGGGACAATGTAGAAAGCCAGAAAAGATAAATTTTTAGTATAAAAGTTTTAGATATGGAAGGCTATTGGATTACACTAAAGAATCATCACACCTAAAAGAAATTAACAATAACAGTATTTTAGCTATTTAAGAAAATGCCCTTATCTTTAGGAGACACATACTGACAGACGTGGGGATAAAGTGTCATAATACCAATCGCTTAGTTTTTAATGGTCCAGTCAAAAATAATATACATGTATTTACAGATAAAACAAATATGGCAAGATATCAACAAATGTTGAATCTAGAGGATCATCATAAGAGTGTTCACTATTACCAATTTTCTATGTGCTTGATATTGTTTCATAATAAAAAGTTGAGGGGTGCCTAGAGAGCTTCAACTCTACAAGGCAAAAAGATCAATCTTAACTAAAACTGTAGGAACTACAGATTATCAAACATAACTTCTTTTTAATACACCTATTAAATATAGGTTTACCCCTGTAATAGAAACAAACTAGGAAAAAAGCGCCACCTAAAAAGCTTTAACGATGGAGCTGGGGTTGTGGCTCAGCAGTAGAGCACTTGCCTAGCACATGTGAGGCGCTGGGCTTAATCCTCGGCACCACAAAAAATAAATAAAATATATTGTGTCCAACTACAGCTTAAAAAATATTTAAAAAACAAAAGCTTTAAAGATTCAATGCTTAAAGGATTCAGTTTAAACACTGTGTGGTGGCACATGCCTTGTAATCCCAGCAGCTGAAGAGGCTGAGACAGGAAGATATCAAGTTGAAAGCCAGCCTCAGCAAAAGTGAGGCGCTAAAAGCAACTCAGTGAGACCCTGTCTCTAAATAAAATACAAAATAGGGCTGGGGATGTGGCTCAGCGGTTGAGTGCCCCCGAGTTCAATCCCTAGTACCCCCCCCCCCAAAACAATTCAGCTTATAATGTAAAAACAATTATTTAAAATAAGTCCTTAACAGCTAGTTCTCTCAAAACACAAGAGCACAATTAAATAACCATTCTGTGATGATACCATAATTCAATCCAATTCAACAAAATTCGACATGGTCATATTTTAACCTAACAACATCGCAATATACTTATTGCCATTCACCTGTTAACTCTGTAAAGTTACCTTTTCTTTTCTTTACAAGCATTACAAAGATACTCAACTACAAATTTTCTTCAACCTGATAATATACTAATGAAATTATAGAATATTATAACACAGCATAAATAGGTTTCCTAAACATCTGCAACTGAATGAAACTCCAATTACTCAAGAGAATTTATTAACATAGCCAGAACTCTGGCTCTACTTTTTCATTAACCACAGTATAAAAAACGGCACAAGAAAACGCTAAAATGAGAATTTTCAGTTAGCTTTTAAAACATTGATTAGTAGTACTGCACTAATGAAAAAAATCACATCATCAAAAGATAACTTCCTGCAATATTCTACACATTAAATTTTGACATTAAACTCAGAAACATTGCATAAGACAATTCAAAATTACTACGTGTGTTGACATTGCCACATATCCAGCAACAAATTTTGCAATAAGGAAATCTCAAGCAAATAACCCAAATACAAGTTCCCTATATGCATCAAGAACTGCAAAAGTAAAATTGTAACTTCTCAAGAAAAGTGCGGTTTTATCAAATATATTTCTTTTTTCTAAGAGGAGAATATATTTTTTTTTTCCTGTCCAGTTCTACCACATAAAAGGTGAAGGTGCCTGGAGCCACCTTTTACAAGTAATATATATTTTTTTAATCATGAAAACGATTTGGCAAGGCTGAAGCAAAACACATCGGACAGCCTACGTCAGGGAAAAGTAAACTATCTAGGTGTTTAGAATTTACGCTCAGGATGAAAATATCCAGCCAGTCTCATCCTCACATACTTACTTTTCCAAGTCAAAGAAATACAGTCCTACAAAAGTCCATCTACATATCTGAATCACGGCTTCCTCAATTACTAGCTGCGTGACCTTGGGCAAATAAATGCCTTAAACTTCTCCGAGCCTCAGTTTTTAATCTGTATGATGGGAAGGCATCGTGCCCACTTCACAGGGTTAGGAAGATGAAATGAGATAACACACAACCACCGGGCATAAGCTCTAGCCAAATGCTCCATAGAGAGAGAAGAGAGAAACAATAATCGATACACTATCACACTGTGACAATGCAAAGACAAGCAGTTTTTTGCTTACAGCGTGTAACATTTCTGCTTAGCCCCTGGGATCAGCGGCAACCTTGCGACAAGAATCCCGGCAGAGTATTTGTCTGACAGCTACACGGACGAGCAGCCTACTTGAAGCTAATCGGGATTTCAGGATGCGATGCTGGGGGCCCGAGCAGGCCCGTCACCCGAAGAAATCCCGGCCCCGGAGCAGCGCACAGGCCACCGTCAGCCACCCTCTCCGCCCCATGCCTGGCCCGCAGCCCCCAAAAGACAGACCCACACACACACTCACCGGCGCTCCGCAGGGACCTAGGGAGCCGCAGGCCCGAGGAGGGGCGGCCGCCGCCGAGCCCGCCCCTCCGCCCCCGCGCGGCCTGTCACCGCGGCCCCCGGTTGCGGGAGCCCGCGGGGCCCCCGGGGACCGGAGGGGCGCGCAAGGAGTCGGGCGCGGGCCGGTGGCAGGCCCGTTCCTCTTTCACATGGAGCCCCGGCCGGGGCCTCTCACGCCCCTGGGTGCTTCTCGCCGCAGCAGTCCCGAGGCCCGCGGGGAGGACGGCAGAAAAGGAGGAAGCCGAGGGCCGACGCTGCTGGAGACCAAAGAAGAGGCAGAAGCAGCGACTCCGCGGCCGGGTCCCCGGAACGTCAGAGTCGTGGTCCTCTCAGTCGCCGCAACTGGCCGTGCGACCCCGAACACCGCGCCCAGCGGCCGCACCACCCTTGCCAGGCTCCGCCGCTACGGGCAGCCCGGCCGCCACTACACACAGACCCGTGACGTCGGGCGTAACGCGGCGTACGTCACGGCCGATCGCTCGTGCGCGCGCAGCCTCGGCCCGCCGAGAACAGAACCCGCCGCGGGCGCGCGCCAGACCGAAGGTATCCTGTCGGCGCCTGCGCAGTGGCCAGTTGTGACTGCGCACACGTCTGGGTCCCCCACCCGCCGAGCGCCGCGGGGTTCCCGGTTCTGGCTTCCATCCTCTGGCGCCGGCCTACTAGCGCCACACACCAGCACCCTGGTCCTCTCGCACGTGCTCCTGTGCTGTATCTGCGACGTCAAAGCGGAGCCCGGGAAGCGTCTCCTACGTGGTTCGCGGGCGGATCCGGATGGTAGCAGAACAGAGGGGCAGTGAAAGACGGTGGATCCGCGGCAGCTCATTTGCAAGGCGAAGAGCCGTCTGCCTCTTACATTTGTGAATCAGGTCTCAGAATTCTTCCCTGAAGGACTTGCCACCTAGCCTGAAACCCACCCCCGGGAGACCGCCTCAGTTTTATGTGGTTTCAGTTTAGTTCTTGTCACTGTGATAGCTTGGCCCCGCAGGGGTTACTTCACTGGTTTACCAGGTGTGCAAACTTCAGCCCAGAGAGAGAAGCCGACACGGCCACCCCGCCCCCGGACACACACACACACACACACACACACACACACACACACACACACCTGGGGCAGAGACTAAAACATGAATCTCTCACCGTATCTTTCCCTGGTGCCCCGTCGTCGACGGGATAAAATGCAAAATAATCAGGATATCCGTGGTGTTAATAACCTGCATTTGAGATTTTCTATCCTACTCACTCAGAAAGCATCCTTCCCACCCCATCTGTTCTCCTTTGCTTAAACACCCTTTGCAATGTCCTGTACCATTCTTCCCTATTCTTTATCTACTTGGTTTCTGGACCAAGATCTCACCCCTTACCTGCTTGTTCCAAACCTCACTTCTTCTCCAGCACTTGAAATGAGAGAGTTGGGAGCTGCACACATCAAGCCCAGAGGTCAAGAGTTGCTCCACCTCTGATCCTGGTCTAGGATGAGGCGGAGACTGAAGGAGAGGGTACTGTAATATCGAAATGTCTGAGTCCCCTTCCAGGAATTTTTATTAGAGACCCATTAGCAGAGGTGTCAACAGCACAGGAACAAAGATGTGCAACTCAGAAATACAGAGCTAAAAAGAAAAGCAGTTTGCTCCCACTTGTTTAAAAAGTGGAAGTCTTTTCTTTTATATTTATTTGTAGTTGCAGTTGGACATGATACCTGTATTTCACTTATTTATTTTTATGTGGTGCTGAGGATGGAACCCAGGGTCTTGCACGTGCAAGGCAAGCGCTCTACCGCTGAGCCACAACCTCAGGTCTTTTAAACTGGAAGTCTTTTAAACTTATGTACACATAAAATCTCAAAAAGTTTTGTAAGATTCCTTTTGATTCTAGCATTCTAAGACTTGTATGGCACAGAAGGGAGGGAGGGTCTTAGAATCTTTAAGGATAGTTTTGGCTGGGCTACACCCCCAGCCAGGATAGCATTTGAATCTTAAACTTCTCCCTTGTTTGCCAGAGCTCCTGGCATGACCACATAGCAAGCATTCAATAAATATGTACTTGTTTACCAAGTAATCTTGAGATAGATTTTTCCTCATACCTCTGCTCACTCTTCCACTCCCTCCCCTCACCCACAACATGTAGGGACTTCATTCACTTCTGGATTCCTTAGAAACACCTCATGTGGATATTTTATAGTAGCTAATCTTTCCCCACTCTCTTTTTAATTTTTATTTATTTATTTGGTACTAGGGATTGAACCCAGGGGCACTTAACCACTGAGCCATATCCCCAGCCCTTTTTTTTTWAAAAAAAATATTATTTAGAGACAGGCTCTTGCTGAATTATTTAGGGGCCTCGCTAAATTGCTGAGCCTGGCTTTAAACTTGCAATCCTCAGCCTCCTCAGCTGCTGGGATTAGAGGCATGCACCACCATGCCCGGATCTCCACTCTCTTTTTATACTGGTACCTTTTACTATTGCTTAGATAGTAAATCTATGACGTACTTGGTTATTTTGGTATATATGATTACAAATTAATGATCTTGAATTTTTTTTCTCAATGTAAACTTCATTCAGTGAATGTTTTGTTTTGTTTTTGTTTGTTTGTTTGTTTGTTTGTTTTTGCCTTCCTGCTATACCTTGGCTTGCCATGATAAATAACAGAGTCCCTCTCTCCCACAGACTAAGAATCTGGTAAGGAGAGCACACAGAATGACTTGCACTGTAGCAGGGATGGGTATTGGGTGCCACGGCAGTGAAGAGGAAGATGTCACAGGTGTGTCTGGGGCATAGGGGATTCCAGAGAGGAGGCATGGTTTGTGAGTCTTCTGTTGCAGCATAACACAATACCTTATACTTACAACTTCAAACAACAGCTATTGATTAGCTCACAGTTCTATACTTCTGAAAGTTCCACAGGGACATGGCTGAGTCTCTACTCAAGCTTGTCATAAACCAGAAACAAGTGTCAGCTGGGCTAATTCTCATCTGGAGGCCTGGGGGATGATTTTCCAAAGTCACTCTTTTGAACCCAGGACCATGAGCCTCAACCTCTGAAGTAGCTGGGATCATAAATGTGTGCCACCACACCCAGCTTTCCAACTTCACTCTTGTTGACAGAATTCAGGTCCTTATGGTTGTAAGGACTCAGGTTCTTGTTTCCTGGGCTTGCTTTTGGCTCATAGAAGCCACCCACATTTCTGGCTACATGGCTCCCTCTGTCCTCAACACTAGCAACAGAGAATTCTTAGGTGTCATATAAGCCTCTACATCAAATCTCTGACTTCCTCTTTTGCTACCAATCAGAGAAAACTTTCTGTTTTTAAAAAGTTCATATGGTTAGATCAGGCCTATCTGGGTAATCTTAAAGCCAACTCTGTCATATCACACACTTAATCACAGGAGTAAAATCCATTATATTCACAATACTGAGGATTATGCAGGCAGGGATCCTTGGGGATATCATGAATTCTGCCTACTGTGCATCCTGAGCTGAAACCTGAATGGGAGATGGTATTTTCCAGGAGCAGTAAGCATTCCAGGCAGAGGAATCAAGTGCACATAAGCCTAGAAGTATAAGAAAATGTGCCCCTCCTAAGAATGGCAAGAGTTGCTGGTCACTGGGAGAGAGCACACAAGCACACAAGAGGGGGCCAAGCTTGTCCTTTATTTGTATTCTTGTCCTTTTATAAAGAACACACTCCTACAGTAATAGCATTAATCTAAACACCTCTTAACGGTCTACCTCCCAACAACTCTGCATTGGAAATCAAGGTTCTAGCACATGAATTTGGAGAAGAAATTCAAACATAACAAGTACATACTGTCGACATGATTTATAACTGTTGGTGTTGACTTGATCTCCTGGTTGAGGTAGTGCTTGTCAGTTGTCTCCACTATAAAATTACTCTCCTTTGCTGCGTATGGCAGCACATGCCTGTAATCCCAGCAACCCGAAAGTAGGAAGCAGAAGGATCACAAATTCAAGGCCAGCCTCAGCAACTTAGCAAGACCCTGTCTCAAAAAGGACTGGAGATGTAGCTCAGTGGTAGAGTACTTAACTAGTAGGAGCAAGGTCCTGAGTTCAATTCCAGCACAAAACAAAACAAAACAAAAAAAAAAACCCTCTGTATCTATACTGTACTCTTTGCAAGGAGCAAGAATTATGCTCTACCTTCCTGCATACAAAGTAACCACATAAATTACCTGAAATTTTTATATCGGCATAGACTCACAGACATGTATTTTGGGTTACCATCTAATACAACATTATTTTTTTTTACTCTATTTATTCCAGGTTGGGCACTGGGATCTCTTTTAGTTGGCTTCTGTGTCCCTTGGATATACCCCAATTATTATGGAGAGGGTTGTTTGTTTTTTTATTTTTGAGGACTTCCTTACTTTCAGGTGCTCCTAGGCTCATCTTGAATATTTACTTCTCCAGTCCATTTCTCCTAGGGATCCTGCCTGGTGCCTTTTATTGGAGAATGGTATTAGAAACCAAGATCTGAAGCTAGTTATGCTCAGAATTCTCTTTTTCTTTAAGAACAGTCTTTGATATTAGCCCCTGCAGCAGATTGGCCCTTTCAATTTTGCAGTAAATCCAGCTAAGTGGAAATTTATGCTTAATTGTGCCCCCAAGTTAGTTATCTTCTTTACATTGTAATCATATCTTACCTGAGCACATGGGACCTCCATAATAAAGAGTCTGTTTCCCACTCCCCCTCATAGCTATATGTGGCCAATTAACTAAATACTGGCCAAAGAATAATCAAGAAAGTATCCATCCAAGTATCTTCTTTGAGAGACCCTTCCTTGGAGACCACATCTTTATCCCATCTTCATACCAGGCACCTGCTGGCCATCTTGGAAAGTGATGACAAGGGCCACTCACTGGAATGATGGGTCTAGGAGCAGAACTCTTTCCCAGTCTGGACCAGCCACTTTGTGCTTTGAGATGAGAAGTAAATGGTTTTCCCTGATAGTTGAACATATTCCTAATAGCATCACATTGGCTAGAGGGGA